CAGATTTCTTTAAAAAGCAAACTAAATGTTCAAATTTCACAAAAACATACAGCTCTGGAGTACAATCAGTATAGCAATGTATTTTAATAGCTTGTGTGATACTAGAAGTATTTGAACAATAGAATGTTTGTGCACCTCCTATTAAATCCAGAAAGTGTTAGTTACTGATTTTTATTACAATAATAGCTTTCAACAATTTTAAAGCAAGTACAAAATGTCAAAAAATAAAACTACTCTTTCTGTAACTATTAATATATGTACCATATTTGGGCATGTATATTTCTGGTAAATGTATTTTATTGTAATTATTTAACTACAGCATTAAAAATAATAACATTATTTATATATGCACTTCATGTCTCCATGTCGGTGTCCGATGTTTACTCTGAATGATCTCACTCAGCAACAACTGCCTTGAAAATACTTTATTCAGACACCAAAAAACAGATCTGAAAAAGGTACAAGACCTTCAGCCAGATTATTTTTCTGCCTGCTGCAGGTGATTTGTCAGCTTACCTATATTCATATATTACACTTATTTAGGAATTTTAAATGAGGCCTCTGCCTGCGTGTTCATAATGGTGATTTTGCATCTTGTTTAACATTCATCCACTCCTGAAAAAAGTTTAAAGAAATTCATCACAAAGGATTTGATAAGGGTCTGCCAACACAGAATTTACAGTTTATCTCAGCCCAGGCAGTTGTGCACAAATAGTTCCTCCTCCTGCCTGGAGGGCTATTGGATACATTGCTTTCCATATTCCACCTTAGCCAGTGGGTCTGTAGGGAACAGAGAACAAATAAATTACCTAGCACAGGTGACAGGGATGCTGAGCAGGCAGCCTCTGCTTAAGTTATTGGCTAAAGGAACGGAATATAGAGCAGAGGCAGCTATGCAGAGGCAGCCAGTATTTAAAGACCCATCTTCTCTGCACTGTTTGCACAGATTTTGTGTTTCACCAAGAATTCTAGTGCCCAGCACATGCTGTACATAGTATTCTCAACTGGAATTTCCAGCAGTTACAAAATAAGATCACCGATCTGAGAGAGAACTGAGGGTTCTGCATATATAATTCATCCACAGCTTGCGTACACTGGATATTTTTGCAATCCTGCACACAGGAATCACAAAAAGGCTTCAAAGTCTGTATCAAAAGAGTAAAATAGACAAATGTAAAGTCCTTGTTTTTAATGGAGCAATCCAGTTTGTTAAAAATGTTTAATTTTTTTTTTCTCTGTCACTGACTAAAACAAGAAGTGTAGAGCACATTATTGTGACAAGAACTCAAGTCCATTAAGTTTTTCACAAATTAGTTTGTCTGCTCCAGGATTAGAATACAAACTTGCTTTTAACATACATTTAAATATTCCCCCTTCTGAAAAAGGCTTTCCTTCATTTCGGTCAAATAATGAAACTACAACCTGCAAAAATGAAAAGTAGTAGAAATGTTCATTTCTAAATGAGAACAAACTGGTAAGACTAGATAGAAAAGAAATTATTTGAGTGTGGCAATGCCTTGTAATAATTTAGTACAGAGCTGCTCAAACCTAAAGTTAAAAAAAATCTCTCCAATTTCAAACAGGCTCTTTAAATTATCTTAGCAGAATAAAGAACAAGTCTTCAGACAGAAAACTCCTAGTCTTGTATTAGGAGTTCAATTTGTCAAAGTGTCTTTATTTATCACCCAATACACTGGAAATGTATTCATTTACAGTTTCTTAACTGGCATTAAAACCTACCAATTTCCAATTTAAAATGTAGATCATGGAAAAAAGTAACCATGATATTTCCCAGAACAGTATCTGCCCAGAATTAATTTAATACTGCAATTTTACAAGAACAAACAGATGTCAGAAACCTGTGACACAGATTAATTTGCAATTTAGACCATTGTGTTATTATTAACTTTCCAAGTTAACTACTCTCCTGCATAACTGAAAAAAAAAATTAAATCGAATTAAACAGAATTTTTTACACATTCCATTAATTTTTTATTTCATTTCCAAAGATTCTGTATGAGTTCATGATGACAAAACAATACAACTGAATGTAGCTTGTATTTTTTAAGATGAGAAATAAAATCTTAATACATAAAGAGTTAGCTATTTTGATAAAAAATGCTAAAAAAAAAAAGGCATTTTAAAGTGCCATCCAAAATCCAACTATTAAAATAACATGCAATAAATTTTGGAAGCAGACATGAGCACTACGGCATCAGGCTTCTCTCAGATAATTTTTTGTCACATGGTTTCCCCATTAAACACCACGATTTCTTTGAAAAAAACAATTCATCCAAATATCATTTACATGCATTCTAAACAATAAAAACAACAGAGAAATGCAGTATTAGTAATTTAGAAAAGCACAGTTGTGAGCTCACTGGATTTTGCATTTAATGCGTTGCTAAACATTTCTGCCTTCTCAAAGGGTGGTGGGGTTCAGTTTTTTGGTGCAAGTTTGGGGAGTTTTTGAGACCCTCAGAAAAAATATCTATTCCTTAAAATTCACAGTACTAATAACAACACACTGAACCAGTAGCCCTTGAGAGACAGTTGCACCCAACTGTGGCAAGAGGTAGAACATTTCTAGAATCTTAAATATTTCTTTTAATAATTGATGTAGTCATTTTGAATCTTTCTGCATAGGATATGGCATGTGAGTAGATTGCATTAACACTGCTTAAACATTTCAACTTGTCAGTATGGCCAAGTCGATTTCTGAAATATTTGCTGTATTTTCCCATCGAAACAGTAATAAAGGTAGAATAAATATATGCCACTGCTTTATAATCACTGAACATTAATGAATATTTTATGTCTTTTTAAATCTCCCTGTTTAATTTAAAAGGGTGAAATTAAGTCTCCTCCCTGCAATATGCCAATTATCTGTAAATCAAACAATAACTTGGCCATTATAGTCCTTTTTGTTAATATACCAGAAGCTAATTTGAAAACACTGAGCAGCATTTTTTAGGTAATAATTGAATAGTCCTTCCTGCCCTCTTGTGGCTGGCAACTGCATCACTGAGCTTCTCCACCGTTACAAAAAATACACCAGGAGGAAAGTAAACTATTAATTTGTTAAAGTGTGAACAGGAGAGCGAAGAGAGAAAAAAAAAATATCTAACAGTCCCTGGAGAGGACAGAGACAAAGGAGACGAGGAACGATACCACCAATTCCTCCAAACTACAAGGACTGCCTAGATTTGTTACAATGATTACTCTATGCTAAAAGAAAAAAAAAAAAAATTAAATTAAGAAGCCATTAGGGAGTTAACATTCAAAACAGTGCTTGTTTTCTATAATTAGACAAATGTTCACCAACCCTTTTACCTCAGCCAAATCCCCAGGGCTTTCCAGGAGCTTTTGCACAGACAGACACGTTCACCTGTTCAGCAGCAACCACACAACAAGGGCCAGAGAGCTCATTGCACTTTAGCCCCTGAATTCACATTAGCCCCTGAAAATCCACAATTTTATACACTCTATTGGGTGTGACAGATACAAGAAAGGCAAAGAAAGGTTTTCTGCTCATGCTGGTTACATGGTGGGAGGGTTTTTATTTCGGTCGTTTAAGGAGAAAATCATAAATAACTTTTAAATTATGTTGATTTCATATGGCAACCTGATGATGTAACCTGCCACTAGCAACAAACAAGAAAACTTCAGTGCATGGAAAGGCAGCCTTGATTCCCCAGTCACAGTTTTCTGGCTCCCTTAAGCCAGGTAAGACCCACCAGCAAAGAAGTAAATGATACAGCATTGATAAAAACCAAACAGACAATATATGTATACATACTTTGTTTCAGAATCTCACCATTTTAAAATTAAAACCACATATTTTGATGGTTTATGTCTATAAACATTCAAATTCCTTATAATTTTAGAGAGTCAAAGCTCAGCCCCTCAAAAGTCAAACTGATTCAAGTATGTTTGTTTATTTGAATTACCAGAAAAAGCAAAACAGAACTTACTACAGTAGGTCTAAACATAAGAAGTAGAAAACAGGCTTTCACACAAGGGAAAGATTAGAATTTAGTTCTTAAGAATAACAGGATTCACAATGAAACAGTTAGCGATCATTTTTCAATTGTTGTGTGAGATACTACTCCCATAGCTAATATTACAGAACTTAAATTAATTCTGTCTACCATATCAGCATGTGACATGAAAAACTTCAATAAAATCTGTTCAACTCTAAAAGACTGAGAGAAGTGTCTGACCAATAATAGCAAACATACATTTAATTTGAAAAGCAAACATTTAATCTTAATATTTTGTGATGTGAATTCTGAAGATTCACATTTCTAGGTTGTTTGTCAAGTTTCCAGAAGGCAGTGGCTTATATGGAAAATAACATCCACAACATCTGGCATTAGATATACCATGGAACACTAGACAACAACCTTTGGGCTTGGAAAGGAGTTCTAAAAATATTCAAGGGACTGCTTATACTGAATTCAGAGATTCCAGAGTCACATAAGAGATACTTGTTCCTTTAGGACTTAATTTTGCTGAAGTTCTCTCCAATATCACCCCTTGCTGGCCATTCCACAGAATGGCAGCAACGTCCATTACACACAAAAACCATTTGGCTACCAGGCCAGTAAGAATTACAGCACTCCAACAGCAACCAGCACAGTGGTCGAGGTGCCTACAAAATGGAGATGGAGCTGGTTCAAAGAAGGGAAAACAGAGGGAGCTTCAAGGGGCTTCAAGTAAAATGCAATTTAAATAACTCAATAAACACTGTTTGTGTATTTTGTATTGTACTAGAATACAAAAAGAAACATCCTTTCTGTATAATTTAACAGAACACCTTTTTCTAACTGAATTCTCTAATCAAATTACTGCAAATCTTGATGATCCAGTTGATTAAAATAAAAAAGACTAATAAAATACAGGAATATCTACCAAGACTCTGCAAACCTTCTCTTTAAGAGAGCTGGCATTAGCTATAATGAGCTACATTTATTCTTCAGCTGTGAAACAGCACTCACCTCCTGAATGGTACTGCTTCCTGAGAAGTTGAGGTTGTACTCCCGCTGGACTTCTCGATGGGTGACAATCAGCATGAAGTTTTGATTTAATGACTCCTGCAGGGCCCTGAAATGGTTGAAAGAAAAACAGGAAAATCAGGGATAAGCATGTTATAGCTTGCTTTACAGTTAGATGCAAAAACCCCAGGGTACCCTAAATTCTACATGGACAAGTCCAGGCACAACATTATCATCTCTCTTTTCACTCTTAAATGCAAGGAAGCATGCTGAGAATGACCAAAGGCCATTCCTGAACTCCTTCCTTAATAAGGTGACTGCAGCCTTTAAAGCTCTTCTAATGTTAAGTATTTTCAAAATGGAGAGTCCCATTATCTTCACAAACATTGGGTGTATTTAGCACTCCTAATGCCATTAATAATAGGCTTGTCAGCATATTGATGGCCAGACCAAATATCAAGCTATGATGTACATTAAGAACTGATGGTAAGCAGAACAAGGCAAAGCATGCTCTTGCTGCTCTAGGGTTACCTGAAGCAGAAAGCAAATGGAAACTCTTCTGTTTAGTTTCATTTAAAGCACAAAAACCCAGCTAATTAGAACTGGAAAATTAGCCACAGCAAAATTTCTTGTGTGGGTATTGAACATTTAGAAAAATTAGTTCTGTTCACATTGTTTTAAATGTACATAACAGAGGTTTTAATTTTAAAAAAATATTAAATTAAAAAAAAAAAATCAAGATACTGTTTAATCAGGTCATCTATATCTTCATGTGGTTACAAACCTGTTTTTTTTTTTCTGATTTTCCTGGTAGTAAAACAACTGGATATTAAAAAGGCATCCTGATTGCTTAATTAGATACAAAATTATGCAGCTATCTTCTTTTCAAAGTAGCAAGCAGGACTTCTGTTATAGCCATGGCAATTATGGCAGTGTGCAATCTTACACATGCTACAAAACTGCAGCAACACTGTACCACAGCCTGCGTTTCCAAACAATATTTATGCAGACTTGACTTGTTCAGTGGCATATGAAATTTAATTGGGCCTATTCAATCCTTTTTTTTATCACATACACTTAAAAGAATGACAGACTGTGTTTTTTTCCCTCACATCTTCACTGTTCTGTGACACTTCAACACGGCGTTCCTCTTAACAATAAAGGACAAATTCTGAATGCAGATCAGCACAGCTGTATCTTACGATACAAGAGGACAAGAAAGACTCCTACATCATTTGAGACCTGATTTGTTGGTTTTAACTCCTTCTGGAATTACTGATCTTGCTGCTCAGATGGGAAGGAACTCCTCATACAATACTCACTGGATGCTTTAGCAAGAGACATAATTTGCTTGAAAATCTCAGGGAAATTTACCTTACAAAAAATGGCTTCACTTGGAGACCTAATTTGGTTCCTGTGACATCTCAATAATCATATACTACAAAACAAAACCATGAAGAGCTATTTGTTGTCTTTTATGGTTTTCCAGTATGGAAAATAAATATAACTCATTGTCAATGCTAACTATGATCATGTGCATGAGAGACACTACAAATGTAACTGGAGTCATCGATGCTGAACATATACTTTTCTGCACTTTCACAAGATTTTCTACAAAAGGCCTAAAATTTTTTGAAATCCTTAACAGTCCTTTAAAATATGGGAAAAAAATTAAAAGAGGAGTCCTGAAAAGTTGTATGCCTATTTTCAAAGATAATTCTAATTTGATTGTTATTAAGTTTTGCATCTCCATAACCATATTTTCTATTGGCAAATGTTCAGTAGCAACTAAAATATCCTGCTGTGCTTTTTCAGATTCTGATTTTTTTATTTGTTTTCAGCAAATACTGGAGGCAAATGACAAATTTAATTGCTCTGAAAACATTAATTACAGCATATGTGAATGGTTCTGGATCCCATACAGACTCGCACAAGGTTCTGTTATAGCTAATTTTGACTCTATCTGAAAATCTGTAGATGCTAACTGATAACATGACTCATGTTTTCATTCAGTAATTGATGTAAACATAGAAGGAAACAGGCCAGTCTGATCAAACCCTCAGTCTCTCCAGTTATGCATGATCCACACACTTCAGCACAACTCAAAATACAGCTTGCTAATAAAAAGCATCCGCTCATAGGAAAAGTTTTCCACTTGTGAGAGCAGGAAGTATTTTGGAAAGGAAAAAATACTCTTCAAACAAATTTAAATGAAGTGCCTAAAAATTAAAAGCTTTAATTTTTGAACTAACAATTTTGACACCTCTACTTTTGGGATTTCTAAGCAACACAAGCTGAATGTTGTTAACAAACAAATTCTCAGCACATATTCATTGACAAACAGTGAAAATAGAGGCTGAAAATTAGCTGGCTAAAAAAAAAAAATCCTGAAAAAAATTGAGGAAAAACTGGGTTTGAAAGTGTTAGCAAATACTGTGCATGGTTAATTGTTCACTTTTTCTTCAGAAAAATATAAAATGAGGAACACTTTATTTAATTTACACAGAAATGCACTAGTCAACTGCTCCTACATCAAAATCTCACATGGTCTGACAGCTGTAAAGCTTGGACAGTGTCCACTAGAAAGTCAGAGGGAGAAGGAATTGATGGCACATCTGATGGGTGACTGATGGCAGCATTGGTGCCCACCCTCCTGCGTGGGATGGGGTTGATGTGAACATGCAGCCAGAGATGTCTGTCCCTCCCATAATCATTTCCTCCACAAAGGGGGATGCAGATTACCCCAAATTACTTGGACCAAGATATAAGTTGGCCAAAAATTGTATTTCAGCCCTTTATGGCAATAAGAAATTTTACAAGATGAATGTATTTAAAGGAAACTTCTCATTGACACTAAGCTGAAGCTTATTTTTATTTCTTTTTAGGTCCATGTAAGTGTATTGAGAAGAATGACTTTGAATATAATGCAAATCTCTAAAATTTTGGCTTTAGTGTCTGCAACTGTTTAATTTTCCTGGAAATTAACGTTACAGTTGACTACAATAATTTTGTAGTATAATAATTTGACTACCAAATAAAATAGCTATATTAAAAGGGAAAAAAAAAAATCAGGTCAAACTCTAGGTCCCATTAAAGACAAGACAAATTTTCTTTCCTTTTTGTTTTCTTTGCTGCAGCCAGTGCTAAGTGAATTCAATTAATCTGAGAATTAATTAGTGGGAAAAGAAAATAAAATTCTAGAAAGAGGACTAAAGTAGGCCATTCTCACTAGAGCCATTTTTACCCTACTGCAAACCCCAGCTTTCAAAAGCATTTGCTGATAGGTGATATATTGACATTACAACCTTTTTACCTCAGCTGAAGGATTCTGCACTCACTGTGCAGCACAAGAGGCAAGGGAATCTGTATTTTGGGGCATTAATCCTCCAGTTGAGGTACCCTGCCTACACCCAAAGTAGAAGTCCAAGAATAGACAAAAGAAAATACATCAAGAGTACAGTCATTGCTCTGATCTCTCTCTAGCAAGAGACTTGGACATATAAAACAGATTGGTTCTATCTATTAGGGGATTACATTAATTCTCTGATTTTTTTTATATGATACTTTGCCTTTCAGCAGCATTTTTCTTTGAAATTTTAGTAATATTTTGGAATTTGACACCAAAATTAAATACTTAATCAATGATTTATAAATGCTCCTTTCCACTCCAGTTTTTGTGAAATCTACTCAGTATTTCCCACTAGGCAATATATTTCTAAGTCACACAGAGATTTCCCCCAAAACCTCTGATTTTTATATAAACAGGCATGACACAAGGTAATTAACATTTCCATTTTAAACTTACAGATTTATACAAGCTCATGTCAACAGAAGTCCAAATTTACTGTAATTACAGATTATTTACATTAAAACAAAATAAGAAATCAGTATGTAAATGTAATGTTTGTTGTAGCTAATGCAGCAGGAGGTGGTAGATTAGGTTCAAACAGCAATCAGTTAGCAAATCTGGCTAACATGCAAATGAGCAGAAGCCCTTTTGTTTACATTCTATTGCATTTTAAACTTCAGGATTTTTAAACTGTCTCATGAACAGATGTGAAAATAAAACATTAATCTTACCATTCTTATGGAAGCTTTCAAAGTAACTAAAGCAAGGCACTGCTCCTGTCCAGCTAAACAGACAGGACTAATAATTGGAGTTGCAGGTTACATCGTTCTTAACTAACACTCTGCTACAGTTGATAACGTACAACAAGACACCACATCACCACCACTGCTCTGTAATGATCTAAAGCAGAGGCATTCAGCAATATATGGACCTATTGCATGAAAAATGGGATCTGTGGGTTTTTTCTTACTCACACAGATGATTACACCTGTTAAACAAGTTACAATCACTTCGCAAAATTGCATTATTTCTACCACTCTCCATGGCTTGCCCCTGGGGTTTTAATGCTTTTCAACTTCCCAGTGATTCATCAAGTATAATAAAGTATCTTTGACTTTCAGCTACTTAGCAAAAAAAATATAAAATACATTATATCAATTATAATGACAACAGTAACAAAAAGTTATAAAAATCATCTCCCAGAACACACAGGATAGAAAGGAGAGATGATGTGGATGACCCAGCTCCATGGCCAGACTCCCATGCTCACACTTTTCATGCTTCCCTCTTGCATTCTCCTAAATCAATAGATTTAGGATCTAAATCAATAGATCCTGAACTAGGTATTGTCAGTCTTCAAGAAGCATCCAAGGCAACAATGGGAAGGAATTACACATAGAGGAAGTCATTAATCTAATCTGACAAAGCTGGTCCAAGGGATCTACCCCCACAGACATTTAATGATGGAAATTCTTTGCCATCATTCCTTTTAAGATTTCTTTCCAAAGGAAATCTTGTTCTTCTCCACCCACCTGGTAACTTCTGCTCCCATCTGATAACTTTTGAATATGGTCACTGGTTTTAAGGAGGTCTCATGGTGTTAGAAATGTTTCAAAGACCAGGTATAAATCAACAGCCAGGAGGAGGAAGGGGACCCACCTCAGTAAAAGGCTGCATTAAAAGTGCAGTATTTTATACTCATCCAGGTGACCTCTGGCCAGTGATCTCAAAATTACCCACAGGACATGATTTCTCCTTTCCTTTGATAACTGACTTTGAGCTGGAGAACACATGCAGGGCAGGATAATACTCTGTTCAAGGGGAAAAATATTACACAGGTGGTACAAAATATACAACAACTGGATGCAGCATCAGAGGTAGGTGAGATGGTGGGAAGCATGGAAGCAGAAGGCTGATTTACTGCAGCTGCTGGCATGAGGCAGGAATTCACTAGAAATCAGATTTCATTATGTCCACAGCTCACAGAACATGTGGTTATTGTTCTGGATATCGTGCATGGATAAGTATGGCTTTGCCAGCTGAAATTGTGGAAGCAGGGTGGAACCATACAGGTGGTATTTGACATTTAAATTTAATCTTTCCACCTCAATTTACTAGCATGCAGTAGTAATTCACTGGGTTTCTATTACCTATAAAAGCTTTAGGTAGGCCACTGATGAACAAAGATACCCTAGGAGATTTTTGTTTGTTTAAACGACAGGATCACTTTGCCATTACATTTAGATGCTGGTTTTAAGTCAGTTCTGGGTTAAGCCCATTCAGTCTGTCACAATAAACTTCAATGCCTTCATACCAATATGCTGGAAAAGGATGTTTCAGACACTGTTCTGCCTCACTACAAAGAGCAGACAAAAATTGAAGCTTATAGTGCCGAGGCCAGACTGTTCCTTTTAAGAAGGGCACATAGATAAAATATCACATACTGGAATCTCAGGCTTTTCAAATATCACTTTCTGGAGATATTCAAATCACAACTATTTATCTCTAGTTCAAAACAGAAGGCATTTGAAGAAAACAACAGATGAACTCCCAGAGCAAGAGGCAAAGTTCTTCAACATCCATTAATAATAGATGTGAGCATGACGCTTTTAAAAATTGTGGATAACAAACTAATCTGAATAATAACTGACCTAACAGTAGGCAGTAAACAGTGTAACTGGGTTTGGTACATTGCTTCAATTAGATGTGTTTTGATCTGCATTGATGCTTTAATTGGAGGCAAGCCTCCCCTTTCATCTAGAATTTATGAATTCAGGGAGATGATCTAGCCTTCAAATTATCCGTGTTTAAATAGCCACTAATTAGTCATCATTTGCTGTCCCAAAGCTACCAACTTTTATCTTAAAAATATCCAGAACTAATCTGCACTATGAAACAAATATAAACTATAAAAGGTAACAACTACTTTGATTTTACTATCAAGTGAAGTTCTTTAAAACCATTAATCCAATAAAAAAGGCTAAGAACTGTTTTTAAACAGTTTGTTGTTATACACTTTACTGCAGTTGCAATAAACAACTTTCTTCAGACTCCAGTTTTCTCTCCAGAATTAAAACATTCAAACTACAATAAACAGCAATACCTGGCTAGAAAATTTTGAAATTGGAAATTAAACAATTGGCAGCTATAGTGTCTTTTCACTGTTCTTCAAATAGCTGCTAAGGTACAATGGCTTCTTGTCCTCACACACAAATACAGCTCCTGTTTCCACATGCAGTTCATGTACACCATCCTCTGTTCCAGTGCCACTATTCCCTCTCTTAATGCTCCTTCTTTGTCATTATTATTTTTATAACTCATATCAGCATTCTGATTTCCTCCACAGACTACCTGTTAACGTGCACCTTTCAGTAATATACAAAGTACTTTCAGTCATTAGGAAGGCAGTTACTAATTCCCATTGCCTCTCAAAGAATACCCCTTCACCAGTAACACAACTGCACTTGCAGAATATTGTGCTATCACCTACAAGGGCAGAAAGCCAACTCCCTCTTCAGACAACCTGAAATCCATGCATTTTGCCCAATTCCAAACGCATCCCTCCCGCCCCGCGCTGGCTGGTCCGGAGCAGCTCCCTGGGCAGGCTCAGCTCCTGCGCACCCTCTAGCGCCAACCGAGTCAAATTCCCATTTTCCTGGCGAAGAGCACATACAGGGCTGCCTTCGGGAAAGGGAAGGACAAGGTAGCAAACTAACCAAACTAATTTCTAATTACTTTATAAGAGTGTTTTCCATATAAGATCGTCTCAAACCTTTGCAATATTCCCCGACAACAGAAAGAGACCTGGGGGTGCCGGTGGACAGCGGCTGAGCATGAGCCGGGCCAGTGGCACCTGGATTTTCTCAGGAATGGTGCAGGGCCAGGGCAGTGACTGTCCCTGTTCTCGACACTGCTGAGGCCACACCTCGAGTGCTGTGTCCAGTTCTGGGCCCCTCAGTTCTGGAAGGACAGTGAGGGGCTGGAGTGTGTCCAGAGAAGGGAACGGAGCTGGGGAAGCGTCTGGAGGGAAAGTCCCGGGAGCAGTGACCGAGGGAGCCCAGGATGCTCAGCCTGGAGAAACCCTTTAGCTCAGGAGGGACCTTCTCAGTCTCAAAACTCCCCAAAAAGAGGTTGGAGCCAGCTGGGGGTCTGTCTCCACTGCCATGTCTCAAGGGGAAGGATGAGAGGAAAAGGCCTTAAATTGCACCACAGCAAGTTCAGATTAGGTACTGGAAAAATACCTTTCCCTGAAAGAGTGGTTAATCATTGGATTAAGTTGCTCAGGGATGTGGTGGAGTCAGGAAGTGCTCAAGAGATGTCTGGATGTGGCACTTGGGGATATGTCTCAGGGGTGATTATGGCAGATTGAACTAGATAATCTTGAAGTTCTCTTCCAGCTTTGATGATTCTGTGAACATTATATGAACACTCACTGCTTACTTCTTAAGCATTCAAATCAGTAATAAAAGAGATCCTGCTCAATTAAAGGAAATTAATTATTCAGCCTATCTACATACATTTTAAAAGTACAAGATAAATTAATGTAACAAACATTTCATGAAGAAAATTCTGATCTGATGGGAATGATTTACACAGATTTATAAGACACATTAAATGGACCAACATAAAGCAGCAACTTATGCAAGGCCAGCTCTTGTTTCCACAGGGACTAGATTTCTGTTAAATTAAAGTCAGCACATCTGAGAGATGTAAAATTCTCTATGTACCTAGAAGGTTCATGTACCCCACCAAAGTTTTAAAAACCCCAACAAGCTTCTTTTCAATGAGATGCTGAGTTAGTTCATCACAACAGTCACTAGTGCAGTGAAAACACTGTATTTACTGACTGCAGATTCCTGCAAATACACATGTGGCTTCATAAAAACCACCAAAAACACCCCAACCATACAAATAGAATTTATGGCCAAAAGACTTACCCAGAATGACTTGAAGAAGGAGGAGGCAGGTCAGGTGTTAGAACATAAAGACTATTATTTTTTGGCAAGTGTAGACTTTTTAAAACAGTCTGAGGGGAGAAAAATCATTATAAATACAAAACATTCACCAATTCTTTTTTTTTAATTATAGGTATGTATTTACAATATCACCAAATATTTTGTTTCAAGATACACTTCCTGTTACTTCAAAACATCATTTTTGTAGGTGGGCCACATTATATACAAACCAAACACAAACTGATTTGTCCTGATTTTATTTTGCAATGTTTTAGATTAAGAGTTCTTTGTGTGCCACCCGAGACATCTGACACTGTTTGAAACTAACAATTCTTGCATTGTAATCCCCACCCACAGATGCTCAGTTTGAAATGGAGTCCAGTTAACTGAAAACACAGTTTAAAACTTACACTATCATCTACATCTCCAGTCTTCCACCCTTTTAACAGCATTTTAGATGCAGGAATCTGAAGTTCATTTTCTAGAATATGTTTGATATCTCCTAGAGAGAAAAACAAAGGAAATATATAAAATATACACATTTACTGCTTTATTTCAAACAGCAATGAGTTGCACTTAAAAAAACAAGAACAAGAAAAAATTTACTGTAAGTAGGATTTTTAGTCTAGTTACCCTTGTAACAGTCCCTTCAAACAATAAAGGACAAATGAAGCTTAAAAAAACAATCACAAAACATGAATGATTGGAGAATCACACAAGGATTGGATGATTTAGACATATATATTGGTAATTCTATGCTCCATATATCCTAGACACACACATTTGCACTGTGTGCTACCTGGAGCACCAGACTTTGCCAGCAACAAAGAGGGTGCATATTTTACATCATTATCATTAATGCAGACCTAAGGAACTGGAATGTTCATACAACTGACTGCTCTGACAGCTTTTTCAATGTTTTGTACATTTTGATGCTCTTCTGCCCCTGTAGTTATTACAGTCATAAAATAATTCAGGCTGGAAGGGATCTCTGGATTTCATGTGGCCCAAGCCCAATCCAAAGGTCTAATTAAACCAGTTTAGTCCATGACTTGTCCAGCTGATTCTTGAACACGTCAGGATGGAAGTTTGACAGCTTTTCTGGCCAACCTGTTTCAGTACTTCACCACCCTCACAATAAAATAAAATAAAAAAAAATCCTTTCATTTAATGTGAATTTTTGATGTTCTGTCCATTGCCTCCCATTCTCATGCACTTCCAAGACAAGTCTGGCTCCATCTTCCCAGTGTCCTCCAGCAGGCAGCTGCAGACAGAGGTCAGGTCGGTACCTTTCCCTTTTCCTCCCCAGCCTGAACAAATCCTCTCCTCTGTGCCTCTCCTCCTCTTAGCCCAGATCCCTCACCAGATTCACTGCAGGATGTCAACATCTTTTTTTCTAGTGGGCACCTGAAAACCCAACAGAGATGCACCCCAGCACTGCTCCAGACGGAGTCTGGCAAGTGCTGAATAGAGGGAAATAATTATTTCCTGGGATCCACTAGCTACACTCTGGCCAACAAAGCCTGGGACACAGCGCGTCTTCTTCACTGCAAGAGTTCATTGTTGAAGCACCCAAGATCCCTTTTATTAAATTGTTTTCTAGCCCATCAGCCTTCAGCCAGGCATCAGGTGGGGATAACATGGAGCTATCCTATGCCAGATACAGGACTTCAACTTTATTTTCTTGGAACTTCAGGAGGCTCCTGTCAGTCCAATTCTCCAGGCTGTCCAGGACCCACTAAACAGCAGCCCTACTCTCCAGAATATCAGCCACTTTCTCTGAGCAGATTAAGATTTATTTTTATCTCTTTTTTATCCAGGTTTTATCTTAACATTATGACTAGAAAAATACAACAACAGAGTATATCAAAGGCCTTACTAAAGCCACAGTGACATTCTCTCCCCTTGTCCACTGAGCCAGTCATCAAATTGTAAAAGGCAAATAATGCTGACTGATTAGGTACAATTTGCCTTTAGTAAATCCATGCTGGCTGTTCCAAATCCCCTCCTTTTCTTTCCCATGCTCAAAAAGTGCTTCCAGAAAGATTTACTCCATAATCTTCCCACAGACCAAGCTCAGCAGTCACCACTGAACAAAGGTTCACATTTGCCTCAGCCTTTCTTTTCACACTGATACACTTACAGAACCCTTCCAACCCCTCAGTGGTTTCACTTCCACCTGAGCTTTGGTCTTCCCAACTCAAAACCTGCACATCTCTGTGCTCCTGCTGGGACCCATTACTACTTTCCATCTCTGGGTACTTTGTTTTTGAATTTAGCTCAGTCAGAAATGCTTTTCTCTTCTGTGCTGGCCTTCTGCCATGCTTGCTCCTCTTGCACGTTGGAAGGAACTGTTCCTGTGCTTTGAAGAGGTTGTCCCTGAAGATCAACCAGCTCTCAGGGGCCCTGTGCCCTCCTGGGCAGCCTCTCATGAGGTCCTGCCAAGCAGATCCCCAAAAAAGCAAAAAATATTCTTTCCTCGAGTCACAGCTGAAGTTCTAAAATTTGCCTTGCTCACTTCTCCCAGGACTTTAAATACAAGGCTGCCCTCCATGTTTACATCCCAAGACACTGACAGAAGTTCTACAGGAGCTGCCTTCTGCCCTACAGCTTTCAGGTAAAAGTCAACTATTAAGAAGTTAATAAGAAAAGAAAAATCAAAGCGGTACAGCTGCAAAATTCTGATCTGATCAGATTCTGATGTCTAACTTCCACGGATGAAGCAGCACAAAGGAAAACATGGAACACCCATCGATAATTCCAAGCAGTCACCGCTAGGTGGCGGCAGCCAACACCAAATCCATTGCTGCAAAGACAAGCGAGGATCAAAAGTTCCAATTTCCACATTTCATCCCAGACAAAAGGCTGCAGCACGGAAAACTGCTTTCATCAACTGTTTCTTCACGTAGCTCCTTACTTGGATCTGTATAAGCTCTTCACTAAAAATAAGAAAATGAAAATACTTTTTCTTCCTTAGCAGAAGTAAATTAATTCCCAGTTTGGGGAATGTAAAAAATAACATGCTCTGCAACACTAGCAATAGCATGCTTCTAACATACTGCTTCAAAATGCACCGATTTTAGGATAAAGACAATAAAACTGATAGAATTTATCTTAATTTGAATGCAAGAGTCAAATAAAAATTCAAGTAAGAAGAATGCAATGATGCTCTTCATACCAGGAAGAATTCCTCTAATCTTGTCACTAATCCTGTGCAGAAAGAGATGCCATACAGATTCAAAGAGGAAATGCCAAGATCATCCGCTTATAAATAGCTTGCATCTACACTAATCCTACCCCAAATTACATTTTCATGCCTCAACTTAATCATTAATCTCCATTTTGTTTCTGAAGCAAGTTCATAAGAAAACTAGATTTCAAAATAAATATTTGATAGATCACTAACCTTTACAATGGATTAGTGAAATTTTTTAAAGTGCTTTTTTTAAAGCTGCAAAGAGATTTGAAAATGGTTAGTAGCTGTGGAGGCTGCATTTTCAGGGGGGATTTTTTTTTTCCTTTTTGAGTGGTTTTGTTCTGCTTTGCTTTAGGACTGAGATTTTCGGGGTTGAATCTTTTTAGTTTGTCTTTTTAACAGCTTCACGACAGCAGCTTTCATTTCATTTTCACAAATCCTTACCAACTGTGGAGCTGTCTTCAAGTACTACATCCACATTTCTGTCTCTGTACTCAACCCTGAAGTCAAGCATTCGAGGTTGTCTTTCCACTATTTGTCTAGATGGCACTACGTGGCGAAATGCTGAGGAGGAGGAAGGAGCTGAAGAAGCTGCAGCAGAGTGACTGGTGGGGCCATACGCTGGTCCATGCAAAGTCTCTACACCGTACTCACTGAAAGACAGGCAAATGAGATGATATAAACAGAACAGCTTGCTATGTCCTAACCAGAAGTTAGGAAAGCAAAATGACAGTATTATTCACTTACTACAGTCCAGCAGACACCTCTTGAATTATTGCTGTCATACCTCAAAATACTGCTTATTAAAAATTAACTTTGATATTAGTTAAAATAACTTTGGTATTAGCAATTTTAACGTTTCAGGGTGCAGGAGTGCTATAGGAGATCAGCACTGGTGATGAACAAGCATTAAAAATCCACTATGCAATTAATACCAGAATTATCTTGAGAAGAAGGATTATTTCCTGTTCCAGGAGTGATGTGACCATATAAAAATTGGCACCATGGCAACGACCAGCTTTCTACATCATTGGGCTAGTATCCAGTGGTAATGAGAGTAAGAAATACAGTTCAAAATTCTGCATGCAGATAGGTATTTTCCCACAACAAATTAGTGAAAAACAAGTCAGATTTGGAAATGGATATACATTCAAGATACAAATTAAGATAATGAAGTATGTGTTTAAGAAAAAAACACCTAGAAGTACAAGAGTAATGCAATGCTGAATTCTAGCTTGCCTTCAAGTTCTAAATCCTGCAAGGTTCTTGGAGATCCATATAAAGATGTCTCCATACCTGACTCAAGGATACCCACAGCACTACAGGTCAGAATAAACTGGAAAACCCTCACTACCCAGAAGCACTTCATCTTCCTCAGGGAGCCTCTGCACAGAAGCATGTAACTGGGATTGGAAACAAGTGTAACAAAACGTGACATTTCAGGAATATTATTTCAGGCAAAAAAAACCAAAAACCCTATGATGTACAGAAATCAAATTTGGAAGGCAGGAAACTTCATCAGGTAAGCCTGGGGTGTTGCCTTTTAGATGTTCTTACCAGGAAGATGCTGGGCAGTTACAGGATCTCATGGTGGATTTCAGAAATGCTACGACATAACTTATCTCATTTCCATTCTTTATCAGAACTTACTTGAAAAATTCATTCTGTTCCCAAAGATACCACGAGATTCTCAATGGAAATGCCTCACAGAGCAAGTCAAATCTGTCATCTAGAGGAGGTCTGAACTTTAAAAAGTGCAAATGTGGATGGCATGCATGTCACAGAAGTGCAACAGTACTCAGCTAATGCAAATCCCATCATTGTGCCTTTCACATTTGAAACAGAAAAACATGTTATGCTTGTAAAACAAGGGGCTCCTTCACTCCTCTCAGCATGCATGCTCAGAAGGATGAATGCCCAGCCACAAAGACCCACACTCTCAGACCTGTGGCTCAAAAGTCAAAGGCCCACGCCGGAGCTCTAAAGACTACAAGAAACAGTCTGATTTTCAGGATTTAAAAAAGCATAAATACCAAGTGATATGTTATTGTCTTCAATCTGGTGGACAAGTATGAATTAAGTACAATTAACTAACAATTCACTTAGCAGACCCAAGAAGCAATGAATATCCTAATTCTTAGGACTGGATTACTAAACAAGCAACTGAAATATAAAACAAAGTGTACCTTTTTCTTTTCAATAAATTAACTTACTTCAAGTCCAGTTGTATTAATTCTATTTGATTCCACCACAAAAGGCATCCTACATACACAACTAGCAGCTTCTAATAGAACATAAAAAGCCTCACATCAGTAAAATAAGCCTTATCTGAATGTCACTGGAAACCAGGTTTCTAAATCTTCTGAGCCTCCCTTTAAACCACTTCCACTGTGTGTGAATACAAAGCAAGACAAAAACAAAGTAACAAAAATACACATTTAAACATAATTTGACTGTCTAGTAATTTCTAAAAATTAGTAAGTTACTGTGAAAGAAAAATGTAAGTGGGCACTGGACCACCTTGTGATTGAAGACGGGCATTAACTATTCTAACTATTCCCTAGCCTCTTTTACCCAATCAAACATTCTGGCCTGCTGGACAGAAATGCTTTCTGCTCACAACTTATATGCAGAAAGAGTGCTCCACAAAACCAAGATTTGATCTCCCATGGACTAAACAGGCCTTACATAAATTTACATTTAGTAACTTTACTGAGCAAATAGTTTTATCCTCAATCAAAACCTGACTCTATTGAATGACAGCTTTAAGTATTAACAGAGATGTCAAACACCACTTTACCTATATTATGTATCTTTTTCCATCATTAAAATTTTTTAAATAGTAGATTAAGTATTTTTCTGAACAAAGTTTTAAACACTGTTTTACTGTCTCTCTCAGGTAGCTCAATTCCTGTTCTGCTGTTTTCAACTGCCTCATCAGCACTTAGAAGATCAAATTTCAGTGACTTCAAGATATCCAAGCATCAGTATGCAAGCCAAAATTTAATTCAGAAGCTGAAAGAAAATCAGTAAAACTACTTTTAGAAGGGAACAACCTTACTTTATCTATCACAGTTTCTGCTGCCTGTAACTCAATTTAAAAAAAAAAAAAAAAAAGTACAAATGTTTTTGGCTAGAAATAGGGAAGCATGGAACATCAATACCTCTAAAAATACATAAGGAAAAAGAAATACTTAGCCAGAAGCATACCAACATCCAGTCTTTGTAAAGAGACAGCCCTGCAAAGAATGACCCAACCACCAGTGAATTCAACATAAAAGTTAACTATTTTGAATAGATGTTTGAGCTAGTCCTCTATTAGTATGGGAAAAACTGAATGTTAAATCAGCTTTGCCAGGAATAGAATTTGTGGCTCCAGAAACAGCTTTAAAAGGAGAATTATGTCATCTTCTTAGGATTCAGGAAGGAAAAAAAAAGTAACTGTTACCCAGCCTTATTCTCTGCATGTATTACTCCAGTCCTCTGTGCTTACCTTTGTAGAATGCCATTTTCTTGTGGTATAACACCATTTATAGCTGCCTGAAAAGAGGAAAAAAAAATTTGAGTCAAGCATGCAGAACAAAAATACATCAGAACTTTTATAATATGTTTTAAAGAGTGATCAGCTTGCTTCAAAACATGCCCTAAAATGCTCTCTATTTAGTGAATATTCTTGGTGAGCGATACTATCGTTATGGTATCTACATAAAACAAAATTGGTATCTCAGTGAAAAACAGACATGACCTGAAGCTCAGACTCCTGTTTGGTTGTGATGGACTTCCCAGGTGGAATGCCTGGGAATAAACTGCATGACCCACGCTGAGTCTGTCTAACGCCTTGGTACTCACACATAGGGGACACATCGCTCCCAAGCACACCAAACCAACTGTGCCCAGCCCAGGCAGCCTCACAGCACATCCACAGAAAATCTGATGTTCCCCAGAAGCACCAGCCATGGCCAAGCCCATGCACCTGCCCAGCTGCACACAGCTGGAACATGGTACCAGTGCAAACAGCTGCGCCAGGGCAGCTCCACCACACCTACACCTCACACACACACACAGATCCTCCTCAGCCTGCCAGGGAATCACACAAGGGACCAGCACAAAAATTTAAACAATCCTCAGAGAGAAAAGGAAGTCTTTTTTAAGCAGGGTTTATAAAGTTAAGTACCATTCTACATTGTCCAAATCATCACAAGGCTTAACAGCAAGAATAAAGAGAGCTTGTAGCATCCCACTAGTCTCCATTTTCTCCTGTACCAGCAGCAACTCATCCATTTTCTATCCTCACAACTTCTAATATCCATCCTCATATGTCAGACATACCTGACCTGTTGGTCAGAACACCTGGTGAATGAGTGCTCAGTGAAGAAGGGAACACTGATGTTCAGCAGTTCATAGATCCCCTGGTACTCCAGAAGGACAAAGTCATACCCTGTGACTTAACTACTGACAGTCATCAACACCATTTGTACAAACTGACATTAAAAAATGCAGTTTAAGTGCTTAAACGCAAAAATAGATGTAATTAAGATTTAAAAGGTATGGTTTCTTTGTCTCTGAATATATAAACATGACTTTTTTTACAATTTCCATTAATAGTTAAGGCTACATGAAGCCAGAAAGTTTTATTCCTGAACTCAGCTAAATTACTGTGATACTGCAATAAAATTTATCCTGCATTTAGAAGCAAATATTGCATAAATAATAATTTAAAAAGTAGAGAAAGAAAAGGTCAGAGGTACCCATAAGCTACAGCAACAACCCATGAGGCTGTATCAAATTACAGTGAAAACAAAGTTCCCTACCAGATCAGTTTTTAAATCAGTTTATCCACTGTGCATGGCAATAATCAGTGGTTTCTTTCTAATAATACGTCTCATTTATCATCATTGTGGTTTTTGCAGTCATACACTGCTCTTGATCGTGTTCATCTAATAAACCTCCAGGAAAGAGTAGGAGGTTTTGGTTTATTTGGGTTTTTCTGGATTGGTTTCTCCCACCCATACTCTTCAGCAACATACATTTAATTCCTGTCAATCAACAGATAAAGTTGGCTGAGAGACAAAATTATCCTTTATTTAGTATCTGTAAGATACAGAGAGCAAATACAGGTTTTGTACCACAGAACCTACATTAATAATGATCTGCTGGTGCGACAAAATTCTCTTTACTTGGGGAGAAGAAGCTGCTTCAGTTGTGAAGAAATACAGCAATGTGGCGTTTTCACACTTCTGTCAAAGCTCTCTCTCAAAGGATTAAATCAGCTCAAACTTCTCCTGAGCCTAGTTAGAGGGTTAAATACGATAGAGGCTCCAAGCAATTTTCTTTAAAACTGAATAACTCACTTGTTCATATACTCCCAGTTTTGTAAACTTGATGACATTTAAGGGGCACAGGAGTAAGAAAAAACAGCAGAAGCATTATGTACTTTTTTGATGGAAAGACCTCTATTAACCACACTGTAAAACTAAAGAGTCCAGACACTGTTTGTTAAGCAAGATGGAAGACTAAAATAATGTAGACAGCAAATGGTAGCAGTGCACATGTACATACTGCATAAATATTAAATATCCATGTTCTAACAAGACAGCTATAAGTAGACCCTGCAAAGAAAAAAAGAAAAAGGAACAACCATCTGCCTTAGAATTTCATTGGGAGAAGGTTGTGACTATAAAAAAAAAAAAAATTAAAACAAGAACATGTTACTAAGGCAAGATCTGTTGCAGGCTGTTCTTCCCCAGTGTCAGCCCCCTTTGAGAGAGGCTCACATCTCTATGGTTATGCAAATGTTTCAGGATATTATATTTTTTTGTCTCTCCAAACAGGGATCTTTGATCACCAAAACCATCCTGTGCGGCTAATTCATAGTCATTAAAAATGTGCGTTACCCTCAAAACAATTTTAATAACCAGTGCATTAAATCTATTTATGGATTATTAATATAAAGAAACCATGTCTGGATCAGAAAGCTCCTTCAGCTCCCAATAACCTGCTGCTGAGAGGGATGCCAGGGAAGCAGCACTCCGTGCTTATGTTGCTCTCACACTGCTTATCCACAAGTGTCCCTGCTGCATCCAGGGTGCCACAGCTTTCTAATGCTACCACTATCTAAAAATTCACCTTAAATGGAAAATTATAGGGGCTTCAGAACATTATTCCCAAAGCCAAGAGTCCTAGGTGTGTCTCAGTGCTATCCATACATGAATTCTGCATAACACTGTCCCATCCGGAACCAGAATAATTTGTTTTGATGACAACCCTCAAACAACTACCAGGCCCACATTAAATTAGCTCATTAAATTATAAGCTGAATGTAGCTCTTCTTGATTTATACATTTTGTTTAGGGATATCAATCATATATCCAGGAATTGGAACAGCTTATTTAAAAATTCATTAAGTACTGCATAACCTGACCTAATTGGACCTGTTTGGGGCCAGAGAGACATCCAGAAACAACTTCCAGTCTCAAGCACCTGTGACTCCATCATCCAACAGAACAGGTTAAATTGATAAACATATGTGAATCCTGTTTTTTTTTAAATGAAAAGGATGTCAAGAATATGATAGAACACTGGACTGACAAGTGCCCATTACAAAGGTTCAAAGCAACAATATTTTTTGGTGTGTTTTTTTCAGCAGCACGCTTTCAAGTTGCAGTATTGAAATACATTAAATCCAAGTTTTTTGTTTCCCAAAAACATAGGGAACAAAAAAACAATAGGGTTAATGAAAGGTTAGCAAATCCATTAACGCTTTAGGCAACATAAAAAAATCTGTGGCATTCTGAAATTATTCAGGTACCTAAAGAACACTCTGAAACAGACTAAAATCTAGAACTTTTCCTCAAAGAAATATAAACTTAACTAGATTACTCAGTTCTGACTAATTGCAACTATCTTTTATGAGTACAAAACAAGTGTTAGGAAGAAAACCAAGAACCACCATTCCTTAATTATCTATTGAAACAACAATACCAATGCCTTCCTTCAAAATACACAATTCTAGTGCTAACCATTTAAAAGCACTGAAGCACATCTTAAGAGTGACTCTCAACCCAGGGCCCTATGAATAATGTGGGTTTTTAGAAAGCACAAATATTCAACTCACAAGTTGTAAATACACAGTGGTTTTCACAAAGTTTGAAGATGGACTAGATTTAACAATCCTATTATTTAAAAGCAGAAGTCTACATACACAGATAGAATATTCAAATGAGGCAAGGGGCTCCTTCCTCTTCTCAAACCACAGATGGGACGTAGTTTTTAAATTTCCAGAATTTAAAAGGGATGTTTAGATGAATTAAGAGTTAAAGGCAGGCCTAGGTAAAAGAGCAGTTAAAGGCTTTTGAAGTGGGTGAGGAGGGAGCTCTTCCTCAGTGGCCACCTCTTATTCCTCCCCAACCTCCACAGCACACAATGGTTTCGGCTGACAGATACAGAGCCCTTAAAATTTACCCTTTGGAGATTCCACCCCAATGAAGAGCAAGAGGTTTTACCAAGCACAATGCAAAAATCAACTCTCCAAAACAGGGCACCAGGAAACACATCCACAAGCAAAAGGAGAAAGCAAACTGGAGCAGCACAGTGCTGGAAGAACAATCCTTTCAGAGGAAGAGCCTGGAGAGATGTAAATAATGTACACACCTGAGAGATACACGAGTTTCACTGGGATAAATAACCAAAGCAGTTTAACACAACCAGCACAAGCTGTTCCCAGGAAATCCCAAAAGCCTTATTTAGGTTTGACTGCATTCAGCAAGTGAGACCACTTGAATCTACTTATCAAAGCCCTCGCAGAGCTTTACATTTGTTTAGCTAAAAACTTGAGGAGGTTTACATTAAAAAACGCAGTACAGAAATGAGACCTTGAGACAGGGTAATAGGAGCTGCCATGGTAGATGACCCAAAAACCAAAGATGTCCAACCAAATGGCATCAAATGCTTCAGAAAGTCACAGGGAATTATAATAGAGTAACTTGTTTATGGGGCACTTTCTTCCAATCCCCTGATCTTCTGACACATTCAGATTTGCAGTATTAGTAAATTTTTCATGTATTCAACTTAAGGCAATTGTCTCATAAACCACATATTTAATTATTTCTATGAAACTCAGTAAAAGCCTGTTTTGATGAGAGGATTTATTTATTATGACTTTCAAAAATCTATATTCTCCCCCAAATGCTAAAAACTCAGATTTTACTTTTGGTTAAACACATCTGGCAAGCTAAAAAAACAAGGTTCTGCACTTTGTGTCTTCACTGTTCATTTTGCCTCTCTGTCCTGTTATATTCTTAATATTTTCTTCATATGAAAACAATTTCTCTCAAATCACAAATGCAGAAAGTCCACTCCATGCTGTTTTCTACATTACCAGAAGCAAAGACAAGAAGAGGTGTTAGCTGCTTCTAGGATAGTATTTAAAATTATAACCAAAAAATGGGCATTTTGTTCTTCCATACTCAGAACAAAGAAAAACTTGTTTTAATCTTTGACTCTTTGAGCATTCCATCTTACATTTCTTTTTCTGATTATTT